CATGCCTGGTCCCTTCTGTTCATAAAGCTAAGAGTTTTAGAATGGAGTCCTTCGGGAGGTAGCTGCAGAAGTGGGGTACTCGATGCATGGCATAAACCCTTTCCAGGGAGAAACAGGGGCTGTGTTTTGGGGGGAAAGTGGTGAGGTTTCTTTGTTTTTTGTGTTTTTTTTTTTTAGAGAGACAGGGTCTTGCTCTGTCACCCAGGGTGGAACTCCTGAGCTCAGATGATCCTCCCACCTCAGCCTCTCAAGTACCTGGGACTACCGGCATGAACCACCTAGCCTAATTTTTAATCTTTTTCATAGAGCTGGGGTCTTGCTATTGCCCAGGCTGGTCTCAAACTCCTGGGGTCAAGTGATCCTCCCACCCCAGCCTCCCAAAGTGCTGGGATTACAGGTGTGAGCCACCGCGCCTGGCCGGGGCTATGGTTTTTAAGCCCCCTCTCCGCACCGCTCCTGGAGGATGGGACCTGACAGAGAGCGCCTCCATTTTCCTGCCTGTCCTATGCAATGTTTCGCAGTCGCCCAGCGGGCAGGAGTCTCTCAACTGGCCTCTGACTTTCTCTCAGAGGGAATCCATCTGTGAATAGATGTTTATTGGGTGCGTCTGTGGGTGGGAGGAGCGTCAAGAGCTTCCTGTTCAGCCGTGTTGCTCAGGGTCAGTTTATTCCTGCTGCCTCAGAATACACCAGCTGTCAGGCAGACGGCTGATCTGAGCCGGTGACACAGGGTAAAACGAGCCACAATCCATAGTGGGGGGAGAGGGGGTCATGGCCAGCGGAACACGTGGGACGGCCCCTCAAAGGTGGCTGCACACGAGCAAGGGCTGAGAACGCCCGACCCGGGCAGGTGGGAGGAGGCCCGGGAGAGACCTGGGAAGAGCCACAGCCCAGGCCACGTGAACAGCAGCCAGGACACAGTGGGCGTTTGGTCTGGAGGATGAGCCCGTGGCTCACCCGCTTAGACCACGTGAAGAGGGGTCACAGGGGCAGGGACCCCACTAGGACACCAGGGTGTGGATTCCCGCTCATTGTAACGATTCTGCAGGCAAGGTCAGGCCAGGACACAACTAGAGTTTTCCCCAAGGAGAAGGGGCCCTGGGAAGTGGGAGTCCCCGCCCCAGAGGTTTTCCAGGCAAGGCCGAGTGACCGCCCGTTGGATGCTGCAGAGAAGAGCTGCCGTCCCCAGAGGAGGATGAAGTACACAGCTGCCAGGGTCTCGGTCAGTTATGTGCCATCCAAATCCATCGACTCCAAAATGCAATGATGAGTGAGCTTATAGAGCAAGGACTTCCTTGGGGCAGACGGGCCAAGTTTCTCATTGTCCCGAAACTTCTATAAGCATATGAAGGAACTATAAATAGCACGACTGGTGGCCTGTATTCTTCTACATGAAATATCCCCAAGGACCATCTCTTGTGGATCAATTGCTGTGTGGTGACCCTCACCGGGGAGGGTTGGCTGCTGATTCCAAAGCCTAAAGGGTCTCAGTTTCCCAAGAAGCCCCTTCACCCCCTCCCCCTGTAGGCTGGGGGAGGTGATGGAAGTGTCCTGTGGCCCCTTGCGAGAGGAGTAGGAAGGGGAAGATGCTAATTTAAACAAAAAGGGATCGTAGTCCCTTCTGTTTCCTAAGGGGTGGGAGACAGTGAAATTCATATCTGTAAATAAATCCTCTGCAGCCTCAAAGGTACAGATGAGGGCATGGGGGACGGAAAGCTGGACTCTTGAACCCTGCCCTACCCCGTCCTGCCTGGGGGCAGACAGTGCTCAGCCCCTACAGAAGCCTGGAGCAGGCAGCGAGGAGGGGCATTACCCCTTATAATAAATCCAGGGCAAGTGGGCTCCTCACGCCAGCCTGGGATAGTGGGAAGAAGCCCAGAAAGGTGAGGGAGGAGAGAAAGAAACAGCAGGTCTCAGTGGCTGATGGGCCATGCCCCCTCCAGCACCCAAACTTTCACCAAAGCCTGTGACTCCACCCAGTTTTGTGGGAGTGGCACCCTGGGGAGGGCAGGAATCAGGGTGCTGCTGGGCACGGCGGGGAATGGGGGTGGGAAAAGACCCCCACACCCAGGGGGCCATGAGGAGAAACCCAAGCCCCCTGAAAACCCACCCCCAGAAGCATTTGCATATGGAGGACTCTGGGCTTCCAACATATTTGGAATGAGGTCTCTAGCCACCTAGAAATACTGCATCTAAGGCCCCTCGCAGGCTGGGGCCACCAGGGTGTTGGACATCTGGTCATTACAGAAGCAACCACGGAGGTGGCAGAAACTTAAATCTGGGCCCCACGGCGCTGGTTAGAATAGCCTGGGGCTCAGTGCTGCTCAGTGGCACCAGTCGCCCTGTGTCCCTTCCTGGGTGCCCCAGAAATCCCAGAGCCACCAAGCTAGAGCTGGGCCCAGCCCCCACATTCACCAATGTCCCCTCTTTGACCCTAGGAAGGGAGGCTGGCTTCAGACTCTTCCCACATCTGTGCAGTGGTGGCACCCACAGGGCTCCCCCTGGGGGAGCTGAGGGGCTCCCCCACCATTCCTGGCCCCAAGGACTCTGAGTTGGGCTCACACAGACGGTCTCCGTGTCTCCCAGTCGGGACACTACTGAGGTGGCAGCTGTGTAGTCCCGGGGAGGGAGAAGGGACATGCACATCAATCCATCATCACAGCTGGCTGCAAGCCAGCACTGGGCATACCCCTCACACCTCATCTGCTGGTAACACTCCTGGGACCCAGAGAGGGTAAGGCTCTTGCCAGAGTCACCCCACGGTAACCTTGGGCTCAAGCCCTGGTCACAAAGCTGTGGATGACAGAACCTGGGTGGTGCAGAGGCCCAGCCAGCCACCTGAGCTGCCAAGGTGCAGCAGAAGCCCGCTGCACGTGAGCACGCAGGTGGCAGCTTAGGCACAGGTGGAAACCATCGCAGCTCCTTCGTTTCCCCGCTCTGAGAGCCGAGCTGAGATTGCGTTCCGTCGCCCAGTGAGCTGAGCTCAGAGGAGCCCACTGAGGGGTGAGTCCGCCCGTGGAGACAGACTGAGCCAACCCTACAACAACACGGCCCTCGGCCACTTCTGGAATTACCTGGGAAGGCCCTTCACAGCTGAGCTGATGCCCCTCGCTGAACACGAGGGAAACTGAGGCCAGGTGGGCGGCTGTCCTGAGCTCATTCACACTCCTCCACGCCAGGAGAATCAGTTAGCAAAGCCCCAGGGTGCCTCCTAGTTCAGGGCCTGGCAGACAACGAGAGGGCCGTGGTCCATGCCACGTATGTCGTTTCCTAACAGAACCTGCTGACGCCGAGTACAGCACGGACACCCGAGCTCCACAGGACTGGGAACCCTAGACATGCACACCCTGACACAAGCAGATGGAGTTCACGAGGCTCCATCTGTTAAAGGGACGTCCGTGGCTCTGTCCACCCCATTGGATTGCAGTGAGGAGGCCCCTAGGGCCTGGTGACACACTGCCACTGGGCATCAGGACACCTGCTCTGGGCCAGCCTTGAGACTGGGAACATTGTGTCCTCTCCCAGGCCACTCTCCAACTGGTCACCACTGCGGTCCTCAGCAGGGCAAGGGGGGGAGGGGCTTGGCCCCAGGAGTGTCCGGGCTTCAGTGCATTTTCTGAGCAGCACAGAAGTGACCCTATCAGTTCTGCTGAAGGCTCACCCCACAGGCCTCCTGGCCCCAAGGCCCTCCCTAAGCTGGCAGGGAGACAGGAGGATTGGTCTCAGGTGGAGCTGGGGGCCCGGGGGAGCCCATGGTGGGAGCAAGAGGGGCTGGGCCTGAGGATCCTGATTCCAGCAGGACCCCAGGCCACAGGGGCAGGAGGGTCCCAGGCACCCCCCAAAGGGCAGTAGGTCAAGCAAGGGAGAGGACTCCCCCTCTGTCCCAGCTGCCCGAAGGAGCATGGGTACACATGTGCCCAGCCCAGGAGGACAGGTCCAGATACATGGCACCTCCATGGGGTCCAGGGTCCTCCAAGGAGCGTGCCACAAAGAAGCCCTTGACAAGCACCTGAGCCGGGCTCCACGCCCAGGACCGAGCACTGTGCGCTCTGCAGTCTCCCTGGTACCTCGGAACCCGGTGCCATCCACCCCCGCTTCCTACCCTGACCACTCCCATGGTGTCCCCCTCAGTTCCAGCTTCCTCCTCAGGGCCACGTGTTGTTGGGGTACCCCAGGCTCAGATCACAGGGACTTTTTAAACGTCACTGAAGTCCAGGGGCAGGACAAGGTCAGATGTTCTCTGAGCATAAGGACAGGAGCTAGGCTGGCAACAGATTCACCACTGCTATGTGGGAGACAGGGACAGGCCGCAGAGGGCAGTGCCAAGGAGGGGTCAACCCCTCTAGGCTGCCCCTGAAGTAAGAAAAACAGATCTGGGAGGAAGGGCAGGCACCCGCTTGTCCCCCATCAATGCAGATGCTGGGGATGCCCCAGAGGGGCCACCCAACATGAGAATCCTCCCTCCCCTGCCGCCCTCCATGATTGGGTGGGGCTGGCCGGGCAGCCATGTCCAGCCCACGAAGCAGTCCCTGCTCCCGTCCACCCTTGGCCATGCCGGGAGTCCCACCTCCAGGCTGGAGGGGAAGCTGAGGCGCCACGTGGGCCAGCCTCGACCTCCATGTAACCATGGGCCACAATCCCCCTTCCCTTTCCAGAGGGGAAGCCGGTGCCAAGGGCCTGCCTAAGACATGGCAGCAGCTTCTCCTGCTTCAGACGTTCAGGGAACATAAGTCCCAACATAACCCTGGAATGTGGGTCACCGAACCGCAAGGCTGAACTCGGGGTGAACCCCAGGGAAAGCTCTGGGGAGAGGAGGCTGGGCCAGGGGGGAATCGGAGGTTGGTGGAAAAGACAGATGAGTCCAGAGAGGTGGGACAGAGGGGACTGAGACAGGGCGACCAGGAGGTGCCCTCCAGCGTCCTAGCTGTGGTAGGCTGAGCCCTCCCGCAAAGGGTCCTCTCCAGCTCCACCTGCCCTGGGAGCCCTTGAAGAGGCCGAGGCAACAGTACAGCGATTTATTGACCAGACTTAGCAGCAAGAATACAGCAAAGGTGGGGCCTGTACAGTGCAGCCCAGCAGGGGGTCTGGCCCCCTAGAGCCCAGGCTGGTGACCCCAGCATCGGCCCCCACCTCCCCAGAGCCCAAGCCCACCCCTGCTCCAGGCCCCTCATGAAGTGAGGGCCAGCAAGGGGTCAGGTCCTGGAGGGACTGGGGAGGCAGGTGGTGCCCAGAGAGGCTGGCACCGGGTACATGCCTGCCCCGGCAGCCAGCAGGAGGCGATGCGTGCGGGGTGACGGGGACGTGTGCGCAGGCGGCGGGCTCACCACACAGAGCACTTGTGGACAGGGTTCATGGGAGAGTCCTTGGGACAGTGGAAGGCCCGGCCAAACTCCTCAAACTGGGACACGCTGCCCAGCACCCTGGGGTGGGGGAGAGACCCATGCAATGTGGGGCCAGGAGCCACAGCCACCAAGCTGCCAGGGCTGACTCTATCCCTTCCCACCCCCCCCACTACACGAGGGGGACGAGGCCCAGTGGGCGGGGCACACCTGTAGTGTTCAGGCGCGTGCTTGTCGGTCAGCACCTGCAGGTAGATGGACTGTGACCGCCGCTTGATGCACCAGTTCTGGGCCCGGGAGGGGATGGAAGGGAGGAGACGGGGAGATGAGGCCAAGCATCTACTGTGCCCCCACCAGGCACGCTAGGCCTTACGGCCCCCACCAGAATCACAGGGCCCACCTCTGAGGGTACAGGTGACGGGAGACGGGCTGGACCCGTGGGTCTAGCCATGAGAGGCCTGGCTCAGGCAGGGCTGGGACCAAGCCTGGATGCTGTGTCCCCACCCCCCAGCCCAGTCCAGCCCCAACCTGGCCCACCTGGGCAAAGGCAATGAAGAAGAGCTGGTTGTGCGTGTACTTGAGCCGGTGCAGCGGGTGCTCTGGGCCATGCTCCCGCACCCACTTCTGGTAGGCCTGGGGGCGCAGACAGCGTGGAGCTCCGTGCCCACCCTGCCCTGGGCACTGCCCCTCTCCACCCTCCACCCGGTCAGTCCCTCCCCAGATGCCAGCCCAGCTCTGCACACCACACACCGTGTGGAGTCCCTGACCCCAGGCAGGTGCCACCCCCTCCAGGCAGCCCTCTCTGCTCTCCCTGTGAAGATGGGGCCTGTGAGTCCTTCCTCTTCCTGTGGACCGTGTACCCGCGCAGGCCCTGCCCCCACTGGCCGGAGCTCAGCAGGACAGGCAGGGAGGGGCGGCTCTGTCTCATCTGGAGCCTTTATCAGCTCCCCAACCCTCTCCCGCAGGGTCGAGGGCCAGGCAGGGCGGCTCACATAGTAGGCAAGCTTGAGGCCGCCCATGTCTGCGATGTTCTCGCCAAGCGTGTGCTTCCCGTTCACCTGTGGGCAGGGAGCAGGTCAGGGGCTGCCTGGGGCCTGGCTGGCCTCCCTCCAGCGGCGTGTGCGGCGTGTCCTGGGCCCCAGCCCCTAACTCCTGCCCACCCTCTCCTGCCCTCGCCCAGAGGGTTTGAGTGGGGCTCCAACTACCTTCCTCCCACCCCTACCCCGTGTGCCTGTGAGTCCCTGTGAACTTGTCACGTGTCCATGTGAGTGTGCACAGGAACCGAGTGTGTGCAGGGACGCGGGCTTGGGCTTTGGACTCAGGCATGTGCACGTGGGAGTGCCTCATGCTCCTCGTCTGTGCCAGCTAGGGGCACAGGGGCCGGCGCGGGGGGTCTCACCCGCTGGTTGTAGACAGTGAAGTTGTCGTAGAGGTGGACGATGCACTCGGCCTTGCGCAGGAAGCGGCTGTAGGAGGCCTCCGTCCACCAGTGCAGCAGGTTCCCGGTGCGGTCATACTGACCCCCTATGGGCGGCGAGCAGGCTGAGGCTGACCCTCCCCCCAGAAACCCTCCCCTCCCCCACCCCCCCCATCCACTGCGCATCCTCCCCTCCCCCAGCCACCCTCTCAGGACCCAAGCCTCACCCCAGTCGTCGTAGCCGTGGGTCAGCTCGTGCCCAATGATGGTGCCAATGCCCCCGTAGTTCAGAGACCTGGGCCACAGTAGCAGCGTCAGGCCCCAGCCTTCACAGCTCTCCGAGAGCCCCACGCTGTGACCGAGGCCTGAAAGGCCCCCAGCCAGGCCAGGAGGTGGCACAGGGAGGCCACGGAGGCATCTGTGTGGTCCTGGGGCACTCATGCCCCAGCTTCCTCCTGAGCTATGTGAGAGAGACCAACAGTGCCTGTCCCGCTGCCTTGCAGGAAATAACATCTAACAGAACTGGCAGGGGAGTGCAACAGGGTTGCGGGAGACAGGAGGGAAACTGAGGCACCCACACAGGGTCTGGCATCCTACCCCATCACTACAGTTACTCCATTTTTGAAACACCTAACCAAGCCTCAAACGAGGAAGGAAGAACCCAGGAAGTTAAAAAAAAAAAAAAAGAAAACCTATACATTTTTCTAAGTAAGCAAGGATGAAGTGTGACCACGGGACTGAGCCAGGTTCTGGGCCATCGGAGCTGCGCCGCACACTCACGCACCTAGCAGACACGTCCGCATGGCGGCTTCCGGGGCAAGGTCTGTACTCACTGTGGGAAGTCAGGGTCGTACAGGGTGGGCTGCAAGATGCCAGCAGGGAATACTGCAAGGAAGGCATGGTCAGTGGGAGACTCACCCGCGTTCAGGCCCCACCCCTGCGGGGACACGCCCCCTTACCCATCTGGTTCTTGTTGGGTAGATAGTAGGCATTGAGCGCCTGTGGGGGCAGCAGCCACCTGGGGAGGAAGGCTGGGCTCAGCTGGGGGCACACTGCCTCCCCCACCACCCTCCCTTCCTAGCCTCCTCCTTGAAAGCCGCCCCCATGGTGGCCAAATACATCAGGGCCACCCTGGGCTGGGCCACAACCCCATGTCCTGGGCAGGCCCCTGCACCCCCATACCCACAGAGTATGAGGCAGTTTGCCCCCCAGCCCCTGCCCTCAGACAGGAGCCCCCTCCCCATGACCCTCCTCTGGCCCCAGCTCTGGGCCAGGCACCCACGTGGACTTGTCCACCTCCTGCCGAATCTTCTTGACTGAGAGCTGGATGCTGAAGCGGATACTGTTCAAGATGTTCTTGAAGTAGGTCTTCTCATGGACCTCAAACTGCATGGGGGACGGCAGTCAGCGCCAGGCCAGGGCGGGGCTCAACACAGCAGGGCCACAGCAGGGCCACAGCTGGGCCATGCAGGCTGCCTGCCCCGGTGGGCGCCATCAGCTGAGGGTCAGGCTGGGCCAGCGGGGACAGGGCCCACCTCATACTCCTTGTCCACCGCCTCAGGTCTGAGCAGGAAGTCCGGGTAGCCGACCATCACCATCATGTACTGGAGCTGTGGGCCAGGGGCTGGGTGAGAGTGGCCAGGGGCCTCGGAGGACAGCCCCCCACCACTACCAAGGAGGGTAGTGCCAGGGCAGCCTGGCTGTGGGCGTCAAGGTGGAGGAGGCTGGCTGGGTAATGTCTCCTCCACAAATATATCTTTGTCCCTTGTGTTTTTGTTTCTTGCGACAGGGTCTCACTCTCTCAGCCAGGCTGGAGTGCAGTGGCACGATCATAGCTCACTGCAGCCTTGAACTCTTGGGCTCAAGGGATCCTCCCACCTCAGCCTCCTGAGTTACTGGGACAACAGGCATGAGCTGCTGCACCCAGCGCTTTTGTTCTCTTTCATTGGCAAACAGTAGGCACTCAATAAATGTGCATGGAACCAACAGATGGGATGAGGGCCCAGCTCACCTTGGCCCGAGCAGCCGCCTTGGTCTCAGCGTCCATCCAGTCCAGCTCCTCCAGGCGCTGGCCCAAGATGTACTTGATGTCTTCCACCAGCTGCTGCACCTTCGGGTCAGGGGGCAGGGAGCAAGGGTTGACCGAGCAGGCTTTCAGTCTGGGCCCCCAGCTCCTAGCATGAGGGGTACCCCTGTCGTTCCCCACCACTTCTAAGCTCAGGGCTTGGTGCTGAGCACCAAGGGGAGACCTTGGAGGTGGGGATCCGGGACCTGCACCCTCGACAACAAGCTCCCTGTCTGGAAGGGGCAACTGCTGCAGCAATGACCACGGACATCGCTCAGGCCAGGCCGCCTGAGCTTGGCCGAGAAGCTTGGCATGGAGGGCCACCTGCGGCTGACAGGTCAGGTAGGCTTCCTGGAGGAGGAGGCCTGATGAGAGGACTGAGCCCTAAGCCAGGTCAACTGCACTGACTGCAGGGGGGATGTAGGGACTCCCCACACTTGGACCAAGGCCACAGAAGGGCTCCACACTTAGTTTGGCACCTGCACCCCCACCTAAACCCAAGACTGCCCACCTTGGCTTTGCTGGCAGCTGAGAAGTGCTCATGTACAAAGAGGGCACCAAGTGCCATGCCAAAGTGGCGGTTGGCCTGGCCCAGGCAGACCCGGGCCAGCTCCTGTGGCTTGTCGCTACCCTCCATCTCACGTGCCAGCTCGTGCAGCGCCTCACGGAATGGTGGTGACAGGTGCTCACTCAGGACCACCACCACGCGCCACACCAGGTAGTTGTGCAGGATCCTGGGGGCCATGTGAAGCAGGTGGGTGTCCAGACATGCATAGGGCCACCCAAGGGCACCTCCCACCCCACCCTAGGCCCCCCAGCTGGGGCGGGACCCAGCACCCACACAGCTCCCACAAAGAAGGGGCAGAGATCATTCCAGGGGTGTAGAGGCTGACCCTGGGAGTGTCCCGAGCCTCAGTCACACAGCAGGACACTCTTGCTACTGACAACAGTCCCTGATGCTGATGGGTCAGCACCGTCTGCTCACATGCTATGGGGAGGGAAACTGGGCACTTGGGGGTGACCCACCTCAGAGCTGGCCTAGAGAGGCCTCGGTTCCTCCCCAAGGTGGGCTGAGACCAGGAGGCTCTCCCCAGGGAAGCCCTGGGACAGAGTTGTGGCCACACTTTCCCTTTTTAGCTATCCCCAGGTGAGGAAACTGCAGCTCCAGAAGCTCACGGCCCTGCCCAGGGTGCCACAGAGCAGGTGGGAGAGTCAGGACGTGAACCTAGGGCTCTGGACTCCTATCTCGGCGGCGCTACCTGCCTCCCCAGTGCGGCAGCTGGACAGAGGTGGAGCTGGAAACTCAAAGCTCACCCAGCCGACAGGTCCAGGGCGCAGGGGCAGGACATGGGGCAGCGGGCAGGGTGGCTGATCTGCAGCCATACCTGCGGGGTGTGGAGCGAATGAGCTGGGACACCTGCTGCATGTAGTCTGTGGCCAACAGCACCACCTCCTCGTCCTCTGAGAAGTCCTCCTGGAAGATCTGGTCCAACAGCCACTTCCATCGCAGCTGTGGGGCCAAGGGCAGGGACAGTGAGGCTGGCAAGGGGGTCAGGGAGAGGCAACAAGGGGACACGGGAGCCTGTGGCAGAAAAAGCCTTGCCCCTCTCTGGGGAGGGATGACCCAGTGGTCCCAGAATCAGCATCGCCCTCACTCTGCCAGCCAAGACTGGGCCACACTCACATGGGGGGTGATCTTCTGCAGCTGCCCCAGTGTCACCTTGTTGTACATGGAGCTGACGTCTCGCCGGAGGTCGTCATACTCTGACACGGTGATCTGGAGATGGAGAGCAGAATGGACCCTGCCCTGCCCTATGGTCCCCTCCCCCTGCCCACAGCACCCCCAGGCCCCGCCTGCTCACGTTGGCCAGCTGCTGCTCCAGCTGCAGGATCTCCCGGGCCTTCTGCTCCACTGCATCAGCACCCAGGAGGCTGAGCACACGCTCCATGAACACCCTGTATGCTGCCAGGACCTGCATCAGGAGAGGGGGCTCCTCCAGGGTGGGGGACAGGCCGGCCCGGGTCTACCCCTCCCAGGGCCCCAGGCCTTCTGTGCAACCCCATCCCATGGCCCAGCACCTTCTCACTTTCCTCGTCCTGAGCTAGGTACAAGGTCCTCTCTGGCAGGGTGAGCCCATCCTGGTCAATCTGGGGAGGGAGACAGGGATCAGGGATAAACATGCCAGCTCCCCAGACAGACTGAATCCCCCCAAATGCTCAAACACAGGACGTGCTAGACATCCACTGTCAAAAGCCCCAGGAGCACACAGACACCAGCCCCTTGCTCCACCCAGACAAGCTGGACAAAGCCCTGATGGCTGCCAGTCCCAGCCTGGGGGCACCACGGCAGAGCCCAGCCCCCAGTCCTTCCCCCTGTAAGCCCACACTTTCCCCACCTGTGCGGGGAACTGGCGGGGCCTGGCGCTGAGAATTGGGACCCCTGGCATCCCCAGCCCCACAGGGCTGTAGCCCCAGCCCCTCAGGACATCCCTCCTGCCCTCACCGCCTGCCTGAGGCCTGGGAAATTGCTGCTGCCGCGGCTCCGCTAAACACTGCAATTACCCAAGGGAAATTACTCGCGCCCTCCTCCCGCGTTCTGCCCCTGCGTGCTCCCCTCCTTTCTTCTCCCCTCCCCGTCTGCACCAGCGTCTGGGGCAAGCGGACCCTGCAGGCTGGGCAAGAGTCCGCGGCTGCATGCAGGGTACCTGGGGAGACGCACTCACGCGGATGACATAGCGCGAGGAATTCCTGTCGTCCAGGCTGACCGTGAGCGAGAAGAGTGCGGCCGCGCTGTACACACCCTGCGCCTTGTACAGCAGCCGGTTGAGGTCCCAGCGCGCTGCAGCCCCTGGGTGCTCCAGCGCCCCGCCCAGGTCCCAGCCCCCGCAGTCCTCGATGACCTCCAGCATGGGCCCCGGACCGAGCCGCTCAATCTCCCGCATGTCGAGGCACGAACGGAAGAAGGCGCGCACCTTGCGCTGGGCCGAGCCGCCCGGGCCACCCCCGGGCCGCGTCAGCAGGCGCCGCAGCCGCTCCTCGTTCTGCTCGCCGATGGCCGCGATGGTGCCATAGGTGAGCTTGTCGTCGGGGATGGCGTGGCGCCGCAGCCAGCCGCCGCACGCGAAAGAGTAGAAATCCTGGCACGGGTCGATGCTGGCGTCCAGGTTGGAGGACAGGAAGCGCGCGGCGCGCGCGAAGGCCTTGCGCTCCGGGCAGCCCTCGGGACAGGCGCCGCCGCCGCCCGCCGCGCCCGGGCCCAGGTACTTGAGCGCTAGCATGGCCGCCAGGATGGCACAGAGGCCGGCGGCGAACACCAGCCCCGACAGCAGGCACACCTCGCGCCGGTTCCAGCGTGGCAGCCCAGCCCGGGACCCGGAGGCGCTGCGCCCCGCGCTCAACGGGAAGCCGGGAGGCAGCGACGCTCCGCGCGCGCCCCCCGCGCCGCACCGGCTCACGTACTTGACCTCCTGGAACTCGTCGTAGTGCGCTGTCATCGAATACGGGGCCTCCATGGCGCCCCTTGGCCACCGCCGCTACAGGATGCGCCCGGCCGCCGGCCTCCTCGCCGGTCTCCGCATGGCCCCCGGGCCGCAGCTGCGGGAAGGACAGAGGCAGGCTCAGAGAGGCGCCGCAGCCCGACGGGGCCCTGGGGCTAGGCGCAGAGCCCCCAACAGCGGGCCCAGGCCTCCCCACTCCGCGAATGAGGGAAGGGGAAAGCTCAGCGCGGCCACCTCGTCCCGGCATGCACAGTGGAGTCCTTTCCTGCCCCCCAATTCCCTGCACACACGTGCCGGCCGCAGGGTCGGGAGGCCCGATATAAAAACAGGAGGCGCCGGCGACCGGGCCTGGCACGTAGTAGGCCTTCACCGAAAGGCTGTCTCTCTTCCCTTTGCCTTTCTTGTCTGCGACCTGCCACAGCCGAGGCCGGGTGGGGGAGGGGGAAAGCGAGGCTGGAGAAAGGAGGTGTGGTCAGGAGCGCGTCTATGCGGACTGTGAAGTGCTTCCCGCTGTCCGCACTGGACGGAGATGCTCAACAAAGCGGCCAAAGAACCAAAGTTTGTCCTCGCGGAAGTCCGCGGGACCACTCCTAGCCCCATCCCTGGCTCCTTCTGCTCCGCAGCCCGAATGCCCACCAGCCCCTTCCCCAGCGGCGCGCGCCGTCGGCCCAGAGTCGGGAAGATACGACGGCCCTGACGGAGATTCCGAGACCGGTTCCGTCCCCGTCCCCGTCCCGGGCCATTCCCGGCTTCAACAGGTTCTCCCTGGAACCCAAACTTGGGCGAAGTTTCACCCCGGCGGTGCGCGAGCTGGCCGGGCGCACCCGAGCCCTGGCGCCGCGCCGCGCAGTCCGCAGAGCCCGAGAGCCGAGCCCGGGAGCCGCAGCCGCTAGGACGCAAACAAAGCCAGGAGGCTCTGCGCGGCGGCCGCGGCGGTGGCGAAGGTGGCCGCGATGGTGGCCGTGGCGGCTGCGGACTCGGCGGACACTTACCCCGCAGGTGCGCGCCGGGGCCGCGCGGGGACAGAGCGGGTAGGGCCCGAGCCGGGGCCTGGGGCCGGAGCGCAGCGGCGCGGCGACCGCTCTCCCGGTGCGCCCGCCGCCTCCTCTGCCGCCGCGCCGAGCCCGCCGCGCCGCGCCGCCCGCCGGCTCGAGGGAGGGGGCGCGCCGGCGGCTCCACCCTCCTCCGCCGGCCCCGCGCCCCCTCCTTCTGCCTGCGTCCCTCCGGGCTACCTGGCAGCGCGGCGGCAACGCGGACACGCTCCTGAGGGTCGTGCACGGGCTGCGGTCGGGACTCCGGGGCAGCCGCTCCTCCCGGAAGGGGTCCCCTCCGATCCCGCGCCCCCACGCGAGCCGCCCACCAGCCCGCCGGGAAGGGCTGAAGCCCGAGCGAAGGAGGCGCGCCGTCCCGGCCGAGGCCACGGGTCTGGACCACCGCCCCGAGGCTCCTCCGAAGGGCTGAGGCGCCGCCCGTAGCGGCCCGTGTCCGCCGTGCCGTGCCCGGCGCCCAACGCACCTGCGGTAGGGCCTTCCTCGTCCTCCGTCCAGGCCCTGCCCAGGGGCAGCCCTCCGCGCGGGCGTCGGGGCTTCTGCTTGGCGGCGCTCCCTGCCCCCAGCCCTGGTGGAGGGAGAGCAGAGGAGAGCCCTGCAGGCAGAGGGCCGGGCCTGGGCGGGCCCTGGCTCCCTGCTTAGGACGTCCCTGGCCCAGGTAGGGAGAAAAGGCAGAGAGGAGTGAGAGAGGCCTCCTGCCGGACACAGGGAGGGCCGAGCCTGCCCCCGCCCCCAGCAGCCCCAGTCCTCACACAGGCCTGGCATGTGGACTGGTGGGAGCACAGGCGCGGGGCCTCTGAATTTACCCACCCCTGTCTTCTCCCAGTTGAACTTGCTTTTTTAAGGTCGGGCCTCCCTCTGCCTGGAGGCAGAGCCTGCTTCTACCTGTGTCCCCACCGTAGCCACAGGCCTGGCCCACATGGGACACGGAACCTGGGGTTCCAGCCTGCAGGACCGGCCTAAACAATGTCTGAGACAGCCGCGGTGCTGAGACAGCCGCGGTGCGCCATCTGATAAAAACCACAATGGGGGGGGACTCAAGGGACCCACCCATCTCCTTGTCCCCCTCCTCTGTGGCAGAGCATCATCCCAGGTACTGGGCCCCTGGCCCTGAGTGGCCGCCTATGCCCCTGTCCTGCCTGTCCTCTGTGTGTCCCTTGCTGCATCTCTAAGCCCCCACTCGGGATCTTCTGCCTCCATCTTTGGCCACCCCAGGTCCTCCTCTGCCCGTGTGTTCTTCTCGGGTCCTGTTAATTCTGGCGACTAGAGATGGAATTACTTAAAATGGGTGATTCCATGAGGGGGAGGGGAGGGCAGGGAGGTGGTAAAGTGGCTCTTTGTGCTTTTAATCTGCATTTTTCCCTCGATGTTCCGTCTCCAGGAGGATAATTTTCCAGCCTTTTCAGGCCCTGATTGGTATCATTTCTCCAGCAATGACAGCTTTTATTTTCCCCGAAATGAATGCCGTGAAATTTCCAAGAAATATAAAAATGGATATTGTCTCAGGGAGCTGACACTCTTCCGACAGAAAGGCCCAGAGGCAAACATGCTTCCCCTAGGGACTCTCCTGCCCCAGCCACCAGGGGTGGGGGACCCAGGTCCTCAGCCCTCCCCCCTTCCTCCCAGGCCAGCTTAGGGGGGACCCTTTCTGGCCATCCCTCCCCAGGCTCAACTGCCACTGATCTGTTCGTGGGCCTCTGGACTCCCAGCCAGGGCCCTGCCTGCCTGGCTCCCCACTCATCCCCCACGCCCACCCCACGAGCCTCCTCTGGCCTGACCCCAGCCCAGAGCACAGCAACGGGGGCCCACCGGACTTGACTCGGCTTTGGGCCCTCTGGCCATTCAGTCCTGGTCACCCCTACACAGCCTGCCAGTAAGCGGAGCAAGGCCCCCTCCTTGGCTCTTCTGCCCCTCCAGAAAGGGAAGCTGAGGCTGTAGATGGGGGGTAGGAGGTTGGCAGTGACCTGGCCTCCCACTCCCTTCCTCTCTTTTTGGGGCTCCCCCTCACCCCTAATTGCCAAAGTGACTCCATGACTTGTGAGCAAGAGAATGACAGGCCACAGCAGTGCCCAGCTAAGCCCAGCCAAGCCCCAAGTGAGGCAGCTGCATACCCAGCTTGGGGGGTGAGGTGCTCAGGACAGAGGTGAGGGGTTCGGGAGCTGACCTCTGTCTCCTCTCTGACCAACCGCAGATCCCTGCCACCCTGCCAGATGGGGCATCACTGGATCTGGGTTCTGGGAAAGAAACACTGAGCAGGCACAATTCCCAGCTTCGCTGGGGACAACAGTGCGCACACTAAGGACTCACGTCTGTGAAGCGTCCATCAGGTGAGGTGCTAAGTGCCTTGCTCCAAGGGAGGGCTGCCGACCTAAATTCAGGCCTGGCCCAGCCTGGAGCCCAGTCGTGGTCAGACCCATTTCTGTCCCCTGTGGCTTGCACATGTGCGGGGACAGAACCCCCAGCCCTGCTTCGGTGTGTTGGAGCAGGGAGTCAGCTCTGCGAGGGCCCCCCCCAGCCTCCACCCTGTCCAACCAGCCCCCACCCTCCCAACAATTCTGTGGTATCTTCTGTGCCCTGAATACACCCCCCAACCAGTTCCTGCCCTCCGCCCAGCCTCCCAGGCCTCATCCCATCTATTATTCACAGCACAAAATGGATTTTTAATTTGAGAAATGAAATGACTCTCCCAAGGGGCTGGGGTGCAGGGAGGGGGAGGAGAAAGGCTGGAGCCACAGGGCAGCCGCCACAGTGCTGACTCAGGCTCCCCTTGGAAAGCCCACAGCAGACCTGGGGGCCCCCAAAGGCTCCTGTACCCCACCACCCGCCCTGTACCTCCACTCCTCCCCATTGCGATGACCCATGGGGTGAGGGGGTGCCCATCAGTCCTGCCTGAGCCTCCAGTGGGGTCTGTTTCTGGCCAGGCGGGGGGAGGGACGGCAGGACCCTGTGCTCTACTGGCTTTCAGATTCCCATGTCTCAAGGGCAGCACTTGGCCCCCTGGCCCAGCCCATCGCCTCCCCAAACGCCCCGGCCCTCCCTCGGCTGGGCTTGAGTAGCTCCTCCACCCTGGCCAGACCCTCGCTGAGTTCCATTGCTGGGCCCTGCCCCCTAGCAAGGCCCACTTCAGACGGGATGGCTGCCCGGGCCTGCAGCTCCCAGAACCCCCTCCTCAGCCCTCATGACTGAGCTTGCACACCATAATGTGTGCAAGAGGCAGTGGCCTCTTCTTAGCCCTTCTTTGTCCTTCTCTCTGTCTCCCCATCCCCTCCCTCCTCCTTCTGGTCACTCTGATAAACGTTCATTTCCCAGAGCATAGCTGGCTCTCTCAAACCTCAGGCCTTAGCACTTGCTGTGCGGGTTGCCTGGAACACCCTTCCTCCATTGCCTCTTCCATTTGCCACTTGCCAATCGTCCTTCTGGGCCACTCGAGAGTGGCCTCTTCCATCTGGTTGGGTGCTGCCTCCACGGGCCCATTACACGGAATCACTGAATGCAAAGTTCTCTCCTGTGATGGCCCCTGTTCTTCCTACATCCGTGCAGCCCGCAGCCCCTTCTGGAGCCCAGCAGAGGACGCATGCAGTAAGCTCAGGTGACAGCTGTGATCAGATCATGGAGAGCCCCTGTATAAAGTATCCCCCAGTTCCAGGCCTAGGAACAGCACCGACCTACAAACAAGCCCAGGCTCTCGGGTCCTTAGACACACCTTTCCTTTCCTCTGACACCCATCAGACAACAAAAGGGGGCCGTTCCTCCACTGCCCTGCACCCCCTCACTTCCTCTCTCAACCCTGTTGGCAGCTTCTGTCCCCACTGTGCACAAACTACTTTCAGGGTCACCTCCTGACCTCTAGATAAGTGTTTTATTTTATACAAGAAATATGTAAATACATTCTTGTTTTAAAAGATTGAAGCCACACAAATATGCAGAGGACAAGCATGAAGGCCCTCCTGGGTAAGGCAGGGCTAGCTCTGTGACCGCTTCAACACAACATCTGGGCCCATACGGGCATCTGTATTCTACTGATTTATTTCTAATAAATAGGACACTATAGGACATGTGGTTTAGTGCCTTGCTTCCCCATGTGGCCTTGTGTCTCGAGGATCTCATCAGTGCCCAGAGGCCCATGCTGGCGTTTCCCACCCCTGCACAGAAGTCCTCAGGGTCACCATCCTCAACTGAGGGACCCTTAGGTTGTCTCATCAACACCTGTCTGGTCTCTAAGTCCAAAGGCCTTAACCCGGAGTCCTGCCTCTCACCCTCCCTCTCTGCCCACCCATGTCCCACCCTTCGTGGTTCCCGCTCCTCCTCCACCCCCTGGATGCTGTGCCCAGGCATTTGGCTCTGGCCCCAGGTGCCACCTGTACTGCCAGCACTGGAAGCTCACTGTGCTCCAAACCCAGCCTTGGAAGGACATCTCGCTTCCTCCTCTCCTTCCCATCCCTTTCCTGTCTCCATCTCTGGCCCGTACTTCTCCCATTCTTACTGCAAAAGGGGCCTCTTCCCCGCCCAGGTGCTCTGTGGTCCTGCCCATTCCTGCCCCACAGCCTCTCTGAACCCCTGGCTGCTGTGGCCACCGAGGCCCCCTAGATCTCCTCAAGCCCACCGTATTCACAGTACAGCCCCATCTCTAGGCCTTTGTTCAAGCTGTCCCCTCCACTCAAGTGCCTTGTCCCCAGCCCTGTGTCCCTCCTTTAGGTCCATCTCAAGCCTCCAAGACCCCCCTGACAGGCCCCCACCTGAGGAAGCTGCCTGAGGCCCTCTCCTGGTGGGAGCAGGATGTGCCCTCTGGTGCCCAGTCTGGAGCCTGGTGCACGCCCGGGGGGACGGTGCCCAGAGCCTGAGCTGACTGAGTGCAGCAAGGCCCAGCTCCAACCTGGATGGGACCGCCACGGTAAGGGGCAGAGCAGCCCCCAGGTGCCATGCTCTGTGCTAAGCCCTCTGTCTACCTCTCCCCACTGAGTCTCAGGATAACCCCACCAGGAGCCCAGCTGTTGGCCCCAGTATACAGAGGAGGAGACTGAGGCCCAGAGAAGGGAAGAAAGTTGCCCAAGTTCACCCAGCTAACAAGTGTTGAAGCTGAGATTT